AAACAGCGCAGGAAGTCCTGCGAGGTCGGCGGCAATTTCAACATGACGGAGGAGGAGGCGCACCAGAGTGGTCTCATGCAGTACTCTGACGCGAGTTTTGCATGGCCTGCTCAGGCCACCTGCGAGGCTTCAGGTCGGCCATCGACTTCTTCCTGTTGTCGAGGGCGCCAGACGAGCAGAGCGCTGAAGTGCTGGAGGGCACGCCCGTCTACCCGCGCCACCCCGCGGCGCTGCGAGTCGCGCCGCTGCGAGTCGCGCCGCAGACGTCTCAGCCGCGGCGCCAGCCCGCGGCGTTGCGAGTCGCGCCGCAGACGTCTCCGCCGTGGTTTCGCGCGACCCGGGCGCCTCGGGTCTTCCCCGCAGCGCGGCCGCCGGGGTGCTGCGCGCGCGATCACGCCGTCGCGTGGCAGCCCCCTCGCGGGGACGGCCGCCGTCTGCCTGGAGCGGGGGGCTGACCGCGAAGAGCAGGCGGCGGTGATGATGGTGTTCAGCTTTTTTGTTTGTTCTCGCGTGCGCGCGAGACTGGAGTCGCCCGCGCACGGGCCTGGGGGGCTCCCCTTGCGGGCCGACGACCTCGCCCACAGAGCAGCCAGGGCTGCTGGGGGGGGGCTCCTTGCCCGGACGACGTCGCCCACTCGGGCTGGACGAAAGGGGGGGGATTGGGAAAGGGGGGGGTACGAAATCTGCTGCATGCAGCTGGTTTCGGCCCCGCCGCCGGGCCCAGTCCTCGATGCATGGGTGCCTCCCGGCGCCGGGAGGCGCCTTGAAAATCAGCTGCGTGAGCTGATTCTCAAGCCCCCCCTTTGCCATCCCCCCCTTTCGCCCGGCCCGACCCACGCAGTTGGCGCGCTCGCGCGAGCGAGCACGCCCCAGGGGCCTGTCAGGGCCCCTGCTGGAGCCGCTGGGCGAGTCGCCCTGCGTCCCAGGGCAGGCGTGGCCAACAGTGAGAGTCATACTGACTTCAGTTGGCCTGGAGGCTGCTCCTCCAGCAGGCCGAGCTCGAGCGGGTCGACGCGCGCCAGGTGCAGGACGACGCGGACAGGCCCGGCGGGCGCACAGAGAGGGCCGAGACCAAGGCGCCAAGTGCCTCGTCGAGTACGCGAGCTCCAGAAAGCCCGCGAGTGTCGCGTCTAGCCGCTGGAGGGCTCGCCGCTGGTCGCTGCGCCGCGCCGCTGGCAGGCGGCGGCGGTCGCTGTCGCGGGCTGGCGCGGCGCAGCTGGACATTCCCGATTTCGAGCGGCCAGCTGCCAAGGCGAACTCCGATTCGCCCGAATTCGCGCGGCGCGACTTGGCCGAACGCGGCGGGGCTTCGACGAGCGAGTGGAGAAGCAAGCCAAGAGCGTTGCAGGGGGCCTCCACGCGGTGTCGCGCACGCCCGCTGGTTGGCATGAAGGCCTCGACTCGGCCGCGGGCCTTGTCAGCGCCGGCGGGCCCTGCGACCGCGGCGCGGAGGTCGAGCAGCTCGCCGAGCAGCGGAAGCAGCGGCGGCGCATCCAGTGCGACCAGATGACGTCGGCCTCGCCCACCACGCCCCTCGGTCGCCGAGCTCTGCGCTTGCCTCGTGGCCTTCAGGCCGAGGCAGGCTTTTCGAGCTGCGCGATGGCGCGCTGGAGGTGTTCGTCGACATCCTCGCGGCGAGGGAGCGCGCGCAACCGGGCCGACTCTCACCACCAAGATCGGCTTCCTCGAGAAAAGGCTGGGCGGGACGCGGCCGATCGCCATCACCACGGTGCGGGCGCGCGCGCAGACGCTGTCAAACTGGGAGCGCCGCAACGACAGGCTCTTTCTCTGGGCAGCGCAGGGTCGCGGCTGCGAGCGGGCTGTGTGACACCAGGCTGTGGAGAGAGAGTGGGCCGCAACCAAGGCCTGCGCCTCTGGCGGCCCTGCCGCGTGGACGGCCGCGGCCGCCCTGCTGGACCTGCTCAAGGCCCTCGAGCAGGCGGGGCACCGCTGGCTGGTCAACGCGGCAACCAGGACTGGCTGTCCGCTGTTGCAGCTGCAGCTGCAGGTCGATACATCGCGCGCCGCGCGGCCCTTTCCTGCGGAGGTGAGTCTGCGCCTGGCACCATCTGCGCCGAGCAGACCGTCCTGCTCAGCGATGGGTCAGGCCACGCTGTTCCTCGAGATGGCGTTGCTGGCGCCCCTGGACAAGCTGCACGCGGCGCGCCCGTCGGAGCCTCCGGCGGCGGTCGTCGACGACTTCACGCTTCGCCGCGGGGGAGGGCAGGAGCGCGCCGCGCAAGAGGTCACAGACATGGCCTTCAGGCGTGCGCGGTTGCTGAAGGAGTCTGACCTGCGCGTGGCGGCCGAGAAGTTACGGGCGCTCGCCAATGTCCCCGAGGCCCGAGAGGCGCTCCAGCGGCGCCTGGTCTGGCCGTCTAGCGCGGTCGCGGTGGCGAAGGAGCGCAGCCTCGGCATCGACCACTGCAGTGGTAAGCGCATCACGAGGGTCGCGCCCGCCGCCAAGCTGGAGCTGGCCAGACAGGGGCCGGGGCGCGCCATGGCTTTCAAGACAGGCAAGGGCCGCAGGGCCGCAGCGCGCAAGGTGGCACACGCGGATCTGTAGCCGAGCGTCTCGTATCCTACGGTTTCGGTGCTTCCTCCTCCTCCTCCTCCTCCTCCTCCTCCTCCTCCTCCTCCTCCTCCTCCTCCTCCTCCTCCTCCTCCTATTCCTCCTCCTCCTCCTCCTCACAGGCTGCGCGCAGAGCGAGTTGGACAGGCTGCGCCCCGCTGTCTTCGCGGCGGCCTCGGCCAACACGGCGGGCAGATCCCGCGCTTCGTCATGCATGTTGCACCGCGAGTTGGGCCCGATGTCCCGTGCCACGCCGATGCACATCACAATGCGGTTTGGGACGGATGGGTTCCACAGCACACGGTGAATTTCTGTTTGCGCGAAGGGGGAGCCACGACCAAGGCGCGCACGCAAGGCCCGCTCTCGGCCCGCGCGGTGACGTTATGTCGCGCGGGCTGGGAGATGTCAGGCGAGCGCACCTGGAAGACTCGCGTTGGCGAGAAGTTGAAGGTCTTTGCCACGTCCCCGTGGCTGGTCAAGAAGTTGCCCTGTTGCGCCGTGGAGCTGCAGCAGTGGCAGCAGATGGTGGCTGCCAGGACGCGCTCACCTCTTATATGGTGGTGTGATCGATCCCCTCGTCAGGCTCACCTCCACGGGGCTTGCTGCCAGCGTCAGGCTGCCTGCCGAGGATGAACGCGGATGTTCTCGAGCGCGTGTGCGCTTGACTCTCTAAGAACGGGGCCACATCGCGTCGTTGGTCACCGACGGGCAGCGGCCGCAGGCGCGGAAGGCCGACGCTGGCATGGCCGTCTCCGACGATTGCCTCTTGTGCCTTGCTCGCGGCGCGCTGCTGCAGAGGCACTGCGACGGCGAGAGCTGGCAGGGCAAGTTGGCGCTTCCCGAGAGGGCCCAGACGCTGCGGGCCGCTGAAGCGCTGCCCGTGGCCAGCACCATCGGGCATTGAGCCGCCCTCCAGGGTCGCGGACGTACGCTAGAGAGGTGGGCACGGGGGGCATCGCGCCATGTTGTCGCACCTACATCCATGGGTCGGCCTTCGAGGCGGAGTTCGACGGCCACGAGGGGGGAGGGGGGGCTGGAGCGCAGTGTCCCTGCGGGCGGGCATGGCGCAGTACTTCACATCGATATTTGGGATGCTGTGCGTGAAGGTTGTGGACGTCCACGTCGGGGAGCTACTGGCGCTCATCATGCTCCTTCGCTATATCCCCCCTCCGGGCGGTGGCCATTCAGTCTGTTTTTTGGGAGTGATGGGGCTAGGGGGAAAGCCACCCCAGATATTGCTGCACGTGGGGAATGCCGTGCTTGTGGCCCTGGCGGACAGGCCCACGCCAGGGCACGAGCCGAGGCACGACGCGACAGGGCTGCCGCGGAGCGCGCGTTGGGGCTTCTTGGAGCCAAAGGCCGACGAGCGCCCGGGCGGCGTGCGCTCCACTGCCTCGACCTGCATCGGAAGCCGACGCAGGTCGGCGAGGCGCACGCCCTGACGGAGATCGCGCCGCTGCAGGACGCGCGCCTCGGCGGGAGATGTCGTCCGTGGTCTGCCTCGTCCGTGGGGCCACGGCGTCGGCGATGGCGGATAGCTTCAGGAAGGCGTGCCGCTCCGTGGCCAGCGGCAAGGGCAAGTGCGCGCCGAGCAGCTTCGACAAGCTTCGGATGCCCGCCGTGCCGCTCGATGTCGCCGCGCCGATCCGCTTGGAGACGCTGGGCTGAGAGGCCCGGCTGCGCGACGGTGCCTGAGTTGTGTCGGCCGTTGGCATTGCGGGGGCCCGTGCTCCCCGTCGCGCGCCAGCAGCCATCGGAGGAAGCCGCCCGCCTCCTTTCATTGCGCGTCCATCCGTTTCCTATTCCTCCTCCTCCCCCTCCTCCTCCTCCTCCTCCTCCTCCTCCTCCTCCTCCTCCTCCTCCTCCTCCTCATCCTCATCCTCATCCTCCTCCTCCTCATCTTCCTCCTCCTCCTCCTCCTCCTCCTCCTCCTCCTCCTCTTCCTCCTCCTCCTCCTCCTCCTCCTCCTCCTCCTCCTCCTCCTCCTCCTCCTCCTCCTCCTCCCCCTCCTGTTGCATCCTTCTCCTCCTCCTCTTCCTCCCCCCGTGAAGACCCACGAGGAGCGTGGTCGTCGGGCCCGCGAGGCTCTGCGCTGGTGAGCTGCACCGCCGGGGGCCGCACCGTCTTGTCCCGTGCTGGCGTTCGTTGGCTGCCTCACCTCAGCCAGTGCCCTTCCTCGTCCTTTCTCTCTCCAGCTCGCCCTCACCAGTCTGATCGATTTCCACTTGCAGGATCCTGCTCGTGGCCTTGTCTCCCCGCCTAACTTTGGCGGGGTAAATATTCTGCAGGCTGTCTTCGCCCCAGTCCCTGCAGGAAAACTCGTTGGGGTTTAAACGAAAAAAAAAAAAAAAAAAAAAAAAACTCACCAGTCTGATCGCGCCTCCCCACGCCCTCTCCCCCCGCGACCGTGCCTCCCCCCAGAACCGAGGCCGAATCTGTGCAGGCGCTGAGACCGCCGTGAGCGCGAGCCGCAAAAAGGGGGAGGGCTCGTTCCCCGCGCCCTCTTGACATTCGGATTGCTCCTCATCGCTCTTGGTTGTCCACCGCATCCTCTTCCGACTCCCCCCATCATCCCGCCCTTCTCTCCAGCAAATCATGGTCCCTCCTCCTCCTCCGCCTCTTCCCCCTCGTCCTCCTCCTCCCCCTCCTCCTCCTCCTCCACCGCCTCAACTTACTCATGTGTTCCTCCTCATCATTTTCTGAACCACCATCAGAATTACAATCGTCCTCGTCATGCTCCTCTACCTTCTCCTCCTTCCCCTACCCTTCATCCTAGGTTCCACCCTTGCCCGTCATCTTAGAACTGGTACTTTGCCGACCCCTCCTCCATGCCCTCCTGTTCTTAATAACACCTCTCCTCCGCAGCAGCAGCAGCAGCGGCATCATCATCCCTCTCCTCTTCAACATCATCGTGTCTCCTCCTCCGTTTCCACCCGCCCCCCGTTGATCATCCACATGTCCATACTTCCTGTGGGTAGTACCGAATTCACGTGTTCGCCCCCCGCGTCGATCATATTACACCACGCATCTTGTTCCAATCCCGCTTGGTCCAAATCACCACCCAAAACGATGCGGATACCCCGTTTCCAAAAATCGCACATGCATCCCCTTGCCGCCAAGACCCCTTGCCCCACGGTCTGCGGGACGTCCGCGAATGACGCGCTTGCTGCCCCTGCCCCGAGGCTCTGCCCGAGGAGGCACGGTCAGGATTCGTCCTTTTCCCAGATGCCGCCCTGCGGGCACAGCCTGAGCAGCGGATCGGATCTGCAGGACGGTGGTGACTGTGGCCATGGTGGGCACAAAGGGGGGGCCAGGATGGACGAGATCGGCGGCGAGCTTGGGGGTGAAGCGAGGAAGGGGCGGGCCTTCTCAGCAGACTCGGAAGTCCCCCCGGCCTTCTGAGCAGTTGTCTGAGCCCTCCCCGAGGACACAGAGAACTTCTCGGAAGGCCCAAGGGCTTCTGAGAATCCGTGCCGCCTTCTGAGAAGGCAGTCTCCTTCTCACTTCCCCCCGGGCGTGCCGCCGACGAGAGAGGCCGCGCCAGTCTGGCTGCCACGGAGGCTACGATGGGCAATCCTCCTCCTCCTTCTCCTCCTCCTCCTCCTCCTCATCATCATCATCCTCTTCCTCCTCCTCCTCCGCCTCCTCATCATCATCATCATCCTCTTCCGCCTCCTCCTCCTCCTCCGCCTCCTCCTCCGTCTCATCCTCCGCCTCCTCCTCCTCCTCATCATCATCATCTTCCAATGGTAATTCTTAACCGTGAGAAAATACATGTGAACCGTGAGAAAAATGTGTAAAAAACAATACGTAAACTATATGCAAACCCGAAAAATGTAAAAACAAAAAAGTGTATGTATATATATATACATATACATGTATTTGATTTCGTTGTTATAATTATTGTTCACATATGTTTTATACATATAACAATAATAATAATAATAACAACAAAACATACGTAAAGACAAACACGTGAGCGCCACACGTAGATACAACACGTACAAGCAGAACCACGTACAGACAAAACCACGTACAAACAAAGCCACGTACAAACAAAACCACGTGCAAACAAGACAACGTAAAAAGCAACACCACGTAAAAACAATACGTGAAGCAATAAGTAAAAACAATACGTAAAAATCATACACACAAACAATGCGCAAAAACAAGACGCAAAAAACAGTACGCAAAAACAACACGTAACAACAACAACACATACACACAAACACGTGAGCGCCACACGTAGATACAACACGTACAAACAAAACCACGTAGAATCAATATGCAAAAACAATGCGTAAAACAATGCGTAAAACAATACGTAAAGACAAACACGTGAGCGCCACACGTAGATACAACACGTACAAACAAAACCACGTACAAACAAAACCACGTAAAAAAACAATACGTGACGCAATACGTAAAAATCAATACGTAAAAACGATACGCAAAAACAATACGCAAAAACAAGACGCAAAAAAGTACGCAAACACAACACGTAACAACAACACGTACAAACAAACACGTGAGCGCCACACGTAGATACAACACGTACAAACAGAACCACGTTAAAACAGTACGCAAAAAAAAAACAATGCGTAAAAAAAACAATACGCAAAAACAACACACAACAACACGTAAAAAACACGCGAACGCAACACGTCGAGACAAAACGTACAAAAAAGACGTGAACGCAGCATGCATATGCAACACGTACAAACGAAACCACGTAAAACAACAGCACGATAACACAACACGTACACACAAAACCACGTACACCCAACACGAGAAACCACGTACAAACAACCCCATAACACAACACGTACAAACAACACCACGTAGAAACAGTACGAGAACACAACACGTGCAAACAAAACCACGTAAACACACCATGAGACACCACTTACAACAACAACAACAACAACACGGTAACACAACACGTACAAACAAAACCACGTAACAAAAACACAACAAAAATAAATTTACAAACAACACGGATTTCGGAAACGAGTTCGTGGCACGAAATCAAGAGCGAAGATGGGGTCGAGGGCTCCTTCCCTCCTCCTCCTCCTCCTCCTCCTCCTCCTCCTCCTCCTCCTCCTCCTCCTCCCCCTCCCCCTCCTCCTCCTCCCTCTTCCTCCTCCTTCTCATCTCCTTCCTCCTCCTCCTCTTCCTCCTCCTCTCCTCCTCCCCCTCCTCCTCCTCCTCCTCTTCCTCCTCCCTACTCCTCCTCCCTCCTCCTTCCTCCCTCCGCCCTCCTCCTCCTCCTCCCTCTTTCTCCCCCGCTTCATCCTCCTCCTCTTCCTCCTCATTATTCTCCTCCTCCTCCTCCTCCTCCTCCTCCTCCTCCCTCCTCCTCCTCCCTCCTTCCTCCCGCCTCATCCTCCCTCCTCCTCTTGCTCCTCCTTCTCCCCCATCCTCCCACCCGTTTCCTCCTCCTCAGCATCTTCCTCCGGTTTGTTTACGCATTGTGTTTATGTGTTGTGTTGATGTGTTGTGTTTACGTGTTGCGTTCACGTGTGTTAAACGCAAGTTTACGTATATGTATCGGTGTGTTTACGCGGTTTTATGCGTTATGCGGTCTACGTATTGTTGTACGTGTTGATGTTACGTGGTCATGTGATGTGTTGTGTTCACGTGTTTTTTTATGATTTACATGTTGTTTTCGTCTTGTGTTACGTATTGTTTCCTCATGGTTAATGTATACCTTCGTTGCATATACGTATTGATGTACGTGCTGCTCGTACGTGTTGTTACGTGTTGTGTTACGCATTGTGTTACGTGTTGGTGGACGTGTTGCTTTACGTGTTGTTTTTACGTGTTGGTTTTACGTGGTGTTTGTACGTGGGTTGAACGAATGCTCTCGTGTATTACGCGTTGTGATTACGTAATGTTTACGCGTTGTGAGCACGTGTTGTTTGACCGTATTGTTGTTACGTAGTGTGTTTTACGTGTTGTTGATTCGTGTTGATTGTACGTATTGTTTTACTTATTATTTGTACGTGGTGTGTGTACGTTTTGGTGTTAAGTATTGTTTTCACGTGTTGGTTTACATATTGGTTTTATGTGTTGCGTTGCTTCTCAATGCTACGTATTGTTTGTTTACGTATTGTTTTACGTGTTGTTTTGATGTGTTGTTTTAACGTGTTGTGTATTAGTTACATGTTGGTTTGCGCATTGTGTTACGTACTGGTTTCCTCACGGTCAATTTAAACAATCGGTGCATTGATTGTTTGATGTACGTGTTGCCCGTACGTGTTGTTACGTGACGTTTTTACGTTTTGGTGTACGTGTTGTTGGTACGTGTTGTTTTTACGTGTTGTTTTACGTGGGTTGAACGAATTTTCACGTGGATTACGCGTTGTGATTACGTAATGTTTACGCGTTGTGGTCACGTGTTGGTTTAACGTATTGGTTTTACGTGTTGTTGTTTCTGTGTTGTTTGTTTGTTCGTATTGTTTTTATGTATTGGTTTTACGTGTTGTTTTAAGGTGTTGTTGTCACTTGTTGTTTTACGTATTGTTTTTACGTGGTGGTTTTTTACGTCTTGTTTTACGTGTTGTTTTCTTCCCACGTTTACGTATCGTTTGTACGTATTGTTTTACGTGTTGTTTTTCTGCCCGGCTAGATTACATGTTCCAGTTTCTTCTTCTTCCTCCTCCTCCTCCTCCTCCTCCTCCTCCTCCTCCCCCTCCCCCTCCTCCTCCTCCCCTCCTCGGGTCGCCCACGGCCCTGGGGGAAAAACCGTGCACCCCGAGGCACGAGGTGAGGCCACGGGCCATGGGCACTCGACCCGCGTCTCGAAGCCCCGCCACCGGGGGGGGAGCACGAGGCGCAGGAGGCCACGGCCCACGCGCAACCGATCCGACGAAGGCATCTATACACCACCACCGTGTGAGGCCAGGGCCATCCTGGGCCCCAGGATGGTGTATAGACCCTCCTGACCTCGGCCAGGAGGGCGTATACACTATGCCAGGGTCAGGATGGCCTTGGCATGGCACGGTGGTGGTGTATAGATGCCTTCAGCGTAACCGAGACGGGCCAGCGCAACAAAAAGAGCTTCAGGGGGGCCCCACGGGGGGGGCAAGATGGAGCCCTAGTGGGTCAAGAGGTCCCTGGCGGGCATGTCTTTCATATCCTGTCACATGCCATTGCGTTGCGGTGCTCTCTTTCAATGTGATGTCTGCACCGCATGCCACTACCTTGCATTCTAGTGTTTTCCATGTCTCATTGCAGTGATGTGCCGTATGTAGCATTACGTTGCATTGCCATGGAGTATGTTTTCTATGGCAACGCTGTACAGTTCACTACCATTGCACTGCATGGCATGCACTGCCTTGCACTCCGTCTCAGTTGTATGTAGCACGTCTCTGTGCACGTCTCTGCTCGGTCCGCGTTCTTGCTACTGATTAAACTCCTGTTCTACCTGGGCCTGCATATATCTACGCAGTTTGACCTTGTCAAGGGCTGGAGCTTGGAAGAACCTAAGCGCGCGAAGCGCTCTGTCAGATTAGCCGCAGCATTCGCCAGTTCTTGTCACGGTGCGGTGGACTAACTGCTGCGGTGGTAGGATCAGAAGCTCGCGTTCGTGCCACGGCACCCCTGTGTGTGTGCTCCAACGGCACGCTTGATTCACGTACCAAGAAGTTGTTGGTCACGCGTTGTTCGGGCTTGTCTTCTTCTGTCACAGGTTTCGTCGGCTACCTTTTTCCACCGTTCCCCTCGCACCGACAGTGTTTGTACCCTATGCGATATCATTATGGTGTCCCTCCTTCCTCCCTCCTTGTCCCTCCTACCCATTCCCCCGCCTTTTTTCTTCTCATTCATCCACCCGCCCTTATCATTCTCTTCCTCCTCTTCCAGCAGCGAGGATAGCACAGCCCACCGTGGATTTCGTGGCCGAAGGGAACGGCCTCATATTGGGCCTCGCCGAAGATATTCCGCTGCACGTGTCCTTGCGACCTGGGGCAGCAGAGTTCGTGGAGTGGCTGTCGCAGGCTTGCGGGCGCGGTGGGAAGACGATACAGAGCGCGAGGCGAATACATCGGGCAGCTGTTGTTCGATCTGGTCTTCGGGGAGCCGCTTTCGGACCCCAGGACCATCATCCAAAAAACGCGACGACAAAAATGTCGGGATAGAGTCGAGAATTCGGGGGGCACGTCGTGGAGGGGTGGGGGACGGGAGGGGAGCTGGAGGAAAACAAGCAAGTGAAAAAGGCGGCGCTTGGGTGCGGCGGTGGAGGAGGTGGCTGTGGAGGTGGAGGAGGACGACGACAATGAAACAGTAAATGTGCGGTAACAAGAAGAAGTGGACGAGGATATGTGAGACGGAGCATGCGCTGGCATTGGATATCCACGCGGGCCACTCCTCTTGTTCATGTCCTTTGGCCGTCGTTCGTGTTGGTCCACGCGGGTGCTTGCTATTTCATGGATTACGTGTTGTGCACATTTGGCGAAAACCGGCGTTGCGACCTTGCGGGCACAGTCGGAACAGCGAGAATGAAAGCAGGAAGAGCAGTATCAGCGGCAGCAAGGAGCAGCAGGAGAACCGCAGGGCGGACGGAAGCGTGGAGGAGGGCCACGGATACCCATATGCATTCCGAACACCGCAGGGCCCGCCGCTTGACATGGCCCTCTCTTCCTCATGATCCTCCTCCGCCTTCTCCCTTCCCCATACCCCTCCCCGTTCTACTTTCCTCTGCTTCTATATCTCCTCTTCCTTCTCACCCCCCTTGTCGTCCTCCTCATCCTCCTCCTCCTCTTCCTCCTCCTCCTCCTCCTCGGCCTCATCCAGAGTATCGCGCGGTTCAACATTTATGGTTTCTCCTGCCTCACGTGTATAGGGCAGTGTTTCTTCCCATACGAGGTCGCCGTCTCAAGGCTCCGAGAAGCTGGCCAGTGCCTCACCAACGCCCCTAGGAATGCCATTCCCACCACACCGTCAAGCGAGCTAGCGGAGATAGGTGGAGCCACCCAGTGTCGTGATCTCATGTGCATGTGCAGAGCTGCGACGTTCAGGCTGGCATTAAACTCGCCCTCGTTCTTCGAAATGCGCCCTGAGATCCACCCATGCCTCGTCTCGCCTTCTCGGCTTCCCGCTCGGTCCTCTGGCCGTCCCCGCCCTGCTCTCTGCTGGTCTCGTCCACGATCTCGCGTTCTGTCTACACGGTGCTTTACGAGAGCGGAAGCGGTCCGCCTCGGAGCTCCGCGGACTGGCTCGAGCCCGCCTGCGCTGGCAGCTGCGCGCCGCGGCGGGCCCACGGCGGCTACGCTGCTGCGGTCGGGCGCGATCGCACAGCACGACTGCCCCAGGACGGGGGACCCCGAGGTCTCGGAACAGGGTCGGGTCGGCCTATTCCCCAGCCTCCCTGGAGCCCGCTGGCTCCTCCTCCTCCTTCTGCTCCTCCTCCTCCTCCTCCTCCTCCTCCTCTCCTCCTCCCCCTCCTCCTCCTCCTCTCTCTCCTCCTCCTCCTCCTCCTCCCCTCTCCTCCCTCCTCCTTCTCCTCCTCCGCCTCCTCCTCTCCTCCTCCTCCTCTCCCTCCTCCTCATCCTCCTCCCTCCTCCTCCCGCCCCTTGCCCAAGGCCCCCTTCTCGTCCTGCCCGTAACCTCACCATTCTCCCCCTCTCCTCCTCCATCACCGCTGCTGCCACTACGACGGGTACCCCTCCTCCTCTCCTCCTCCCCTCCCCCCCCCCCTCCCCCTCCTCCTCCTCCTCCTCCTCCTCCTCCTCCTCTCCTCCTCCTCCTCCTCCTCCTCCTCCTCCTCCTCCTCCTCCTCCCCCCCCTGTCGTCCTGCCCTCCCTTTCACTTCCCCCTTACTCCGTGACAGGGGTACTTTGTGCCGTTACTTATCATGATGGCGGCGATGGGCCAACACCACTCCGCCGCCACCATTTCTCAGGTCCAGATGTCCGCGCAGCGTTGCCCGTGCGCATCACAGCCGGCAGACCGAGGGGGAGAAGATGGAGAGCCAGAAGGGTGAGGAGGACGAGAGGGAGAAGGGTCGCGTGGATTGGAGTGGTAAGTTTTATGTCCGCCCCAGATCCCAGCCACCAGGCGACCCTGAAGGCCCTTGAAGCCACTCCCCTTGGACGCCTGGAAGCGTCCAAGCACGTCCCAAAAACCTAAGGAAACAGCGTCTCGGGTGGGGGCAGAACTTACCAGAACCGGACGGGGCCATGACAAAGATAAATCCGTCCCACAGCGTTCCGAAACGCTCTCACATCGTTCCGGAACGCTCCGAGAAGGCCGCGGCGACCGAGACATCTTGCAGAGCCGCCGGATCTCAGAGATTCTCGATTCATCCTCATCCGAAGTTGTCTTCGTCCTGGCGTCGTCTTACAGGAGAGTCGCGTAGATAGTGGGGGGCATCTTCCAGCGCCCCAGGCGCCGGGCATCGAGCTCGCGGTGTACACCGCCGGCACCCCCGCGTACGCTCGGCAGACCCTGGCGGGGAAGGGGCAGCCTGGTACGTGGGTGGAGGTCCCCTCCCTGTTCCCTCGCCCTCCTCCCTGGCATGACCAGCACATCATCATCATCATCATCCTCATCATCATCATCATCATCATCATCAACAACAACAACAACAACATCATCATCACCACCACCACCATCATCATCACCATCATCATCATCACCACCACCATCACCATCATCGTCCTTCCCTTCTCTTCCTCCTCGCTACCCCCACCTCCCCTCTTTTCCTGCCCCCCTCCCCTCCTCCCCCACCCCTCGTTCTTCCTCATCCTCCCTCTCCCCACTGTCCTCCCATGCCCCCCCCCTCTGTCCCTCCCTCCTCCCGTTTTTTCTTCCCCCGCCCCCTCCAGGGGACAGGCAGCCCACGACGTCGCATGGGCGGGTCCTGCTGGCAATTCCTAGTCGGTCTCCGTGGGAAGCGGGGTGAAAGCCGTCCTCCGCAAGGCCGCTGCCCCAAGACCCCTCGATTCAGCATTGAATTCATCGCCCGCGCTCTGCAGTTGTGGATTGTTCTGACGGGTTGTTCCTTGTGTGTTTGTTTCGCGTGCACCGCTCACACTGCGGGTGGCTGGATCGCGAAGCTGAGGGAACAGTGCCAGGGCAGAGATTTGCCAGGTGCAGGACGTACAGCTTGGCACAGCTTCACCACAGACAAGCACCCCCAGCTGAGCAAGAGGGAGAGGAGTGGCAAGTTTCTTCTCTTGCCCTGGTTTGCTTAACTGTGATGACGAACAAGTAGGCGTCGCGGTGAAACTGACCTTGTGACGTACCAAACTCATGTGCATCAAGTGGCAAGAAGAGCTGACCCAAATTTGACAGGACTACGACACTGCAGGCGCCGTTGTATGTTGTGTGAGCTACGCGGGATACTGGCATGATTCCCAGGACAACAATGGAAGGACGAGGAGCGAGGGCCCAGGCTCGAAGAAGACATAGGGGTGGGAACGAAGAGCATAAGAAGGACGCGAGTGGGGCCGAACTGTCAGCACGGCAGCAGCAGAGAGAAGGTGACAAGGGGAGGTGGACGTCGACGAAAGCGACGGGAGAAGACAGGACAGTGTTGCGCTCGTCGGTAGTATGCTAAAAAGATGCAGCAGTGCCTGCGCCATGTCGCCGCGGCGCTCGAAAGGATCAAACCTGCTCATGGCTAGTGCAGGAAGCGGCCGAGGCCTAGCTCACCCGCTAGCTTCTCTGCCCCTTTCCTGCATTTTTCAGTGCGGGAGACTGTCCAGGCTGGGAACCCGGGTCCAGGCTGGCGGCCCGCGTGAGACGTCACTCCGTTGCACTCCCCAACAGCCCTCCAAAGTGGCGACCGGCTCGCAGCTTGCAGCCCCAGGGATGGCGAGATATCCTAGTGGTCCGCGTCAGACGTCGTTGCGCTGCACTCCCCAGCAGCCTTCGACTCGCAGATCGCAGCCCCCCAGGGATGGCGAGCTTTCCTGGTGATCCGCGTACGACGTCGCTCCGCCGCACACCCCAGCAGCCTTCGAAAGTGGCGACAGTTTCGCAGATCGCAGCCCCCGGAGGATGAGGAGGTGTCCTGGTTATCCGCGTACGACGTTACTCCGCTGGACCCCCCAGCAGCCTTCGAAGAGGATGGCGGGGTCTTATTTGCGCCTGGGTAAGACGTCACTCCGCTGGACCCCCCAGCAGACCTCGAAAGTGACAACAGTTTCGCGGATCGCCGCCCCCCAAGGATGGCGAGGTTCCATTTGACAAGAAGTAAGACGTCACTCCGCTGGACCCCCCAGCAGCCCTCGAAAGTGGCGGCATACTCGCGGACCGCAGCCCCCCAGGGATGGCGAGGTATAGTTCGAATATGGGTGAGACGTACCCCCAGCAGCCCCCGAAAGTGGCGACAGTTTCGCAGAATGCAGACCCCAAGGAATCGCAGGGTCTCGTTTGATCTAGGTAAGACGTCACCCCGCTGGACTCGCCAGCAGCCCTCGCAAGTGGCGACGTTTTCGCAGATCGCAGCCCCCCGGGGATGGGGAGGTTTCATTTGAGTCCGGGTGAGACGTCATTCCGCTGGCCCCCCCAGCAGCCGTCGAAAGTGGCGACGGCTTCGCAGATCGCAGCCCCCCAGGGATGGCGAGGTCTAATTTGAGCCTGGGTGAGACGTCATTCTGCTGGACCCCCAGCAACTCCCGAAAGAGGCGACAGTTTCGCAGATCGCAGCCCCCAGGGATGGCGAGGTCTAGTTTGAATCTGGGCAGGACGCCACTTTTCTGGACCTCCCCAGCAGCCCCCGAAACTGGCGATCGCTCCGCTGATCGCAGCCCCCCAGGGATGGCGAGGTCTCATTTGAGCTTGGGTGAGACGTCACGCCGCTGGACCGCCCAGCAGCCCTCGAAAGTGGCGATAGTTCCGCATATCGCAGCCACCCAAGGATGGCGAGGCTTAATTCGAACCTGAGTAAGACGTCACTCCGCTGGACCACACACACACAAAGCCTTCGAAAATGGCGACAATTCAGCAGATCACAGCCCCTTTTTTTCAGGGATGGTGAGGTCAAATTTGAATCCAGGTAAAACGTCACCCCGCGGGGCCCCCCAGCTGCCCTCGAAAGTGATGGCATGTTCGCGGACCGCAGCCCCCCAGGGATGGCGAGGTCTAATTTGAGCCTGGGTGAGACGTCGTTCCGCTGGACCACCAGCAACTCCCGAAAGTGACGACAGTTCTGCGGATTGCAACCCAAAAGGGATGTCGAGACCTAACTTGAGTCTGGGTGAGACGTCACTCAGCTGGACCCCACAGCAGCCCTCGAAAGTGGCGGCAATTTCGCAGATCGCAGCCCCCCCAGGGATGGCGAGGTCTCATTTGAGTCTGGGTGAGACGTCACTCCGCTGGACCCCCCAGCAGCCTTCGAAAAGGGCGGCAATTTCGCAGATCGCAGCCCCCCAGGGATGGCGAGGTCGTGTTTGAAGCTGGGTCAAGACGTCACCCCGCTGGACCCCCCCAGCAGTGTTTGAAAGTGACGACAGTTTCGCAGATCGCCGCCCCCCAGGGATGGCGAGGTCGAATTTGAATGTGGCTGAGACGTCACTCCGCTGGACCCCCCAGCAGGCCTCGAAAGTGGCGGCAGTTTCGCAGACCGCAGCCCCCCAGGGATGACGAGGTCTCATTTGTGTCTGGGTGAGACGTCACTCCGCCGGACCCCCCCAGCAGCCATCGAAAGTGGCGACAGTTTCGCGGAGCGCAGTCCCCCAGGGATGGCGAGGTTTATTTTGTTTTTGGGCAAGACGCCATTCCGGTGGACCCCCCAGCAGCCTTCGAAAGTGGCTACAGTTTCGCAGATCGCAGCCCCCTAGGGACGGCAAGTTCTCATTCGAATCTGGGTATGACGTCATTCCGCTGGACCCCTCCCAGCAGTCTTCGAAAGGGGCGATCGTTTCGCTGATCGCAGCCCCCGAGGATGGCGAGGTCTCATTTGAGTCTGGGTGAGACGTCACTCTGGACCCCCAGCAGCCCTCGAAAATGGCGACAGTTTTGCAGATTGCAGACCCCCAGAGGAAAGTGGCGACAGTTTAGCAGATCGCAGCCCCCCAGGGATGGCGAGGTTAAGTTTGAATCTGGGTAAGACGTCACTCCGCTGGACCCCCCAGCAGCCCTCGAAAGAGGCGACAGATCCGCGGATCGCAGCCCCCACGGGATGGCGAGGTCTAATTTGAGCCTGGGTAAGACGTCACTCTGCTGGACCCCCCAGCAGGCCTCGAAGGAGGCGCCCCCCCAAGGATGGCGAGGTCTCATTTGAGTATGGGTGAGACGTCATTCCGCTGGACCCCTCCCAGCAGGCCTCGAAAGTGGCGGCAGTTTCGCAGACCGCAGCCCCCCAGGGATGGCGAGGTCAAATTTGAAGCTGGGCAAGGCGTCACTTTGCTGGACCCCCCAGCAGCCTTCGAAAGTGACGACAGATTGACAGATCGCAGCCCCCACAGAATGGCGAGGTCTAGTTTGATTCCGGGTAAGACGCCACTCCGCTGGACCCCCCCAGCAGAACCCGAAATCGGCGACAGTTGTTACAGATTGCAGCCCCCCAGGGATGGCGGGGTCTCATTTGAATCTCGGTAAGATGTCATTCCGCGAAAGTGGCAACAGCTTCGCAGATCGCAGTCCCCCAGGGATGGCGAGGTCTAATTTGAATCCGGGTAAGACGTCACTCCGCTAGACCCTCCAGCAGCCCTCGAAAAAGGCGACAGATTGACAGATCGCAGCCACACAGGGAGACAAGCTGGCGCGCAAGAAGGAAAGAGGTAAGAGGCAGGCAGGAAGGATGGGATAAGGAAGGAGGCGGGAAGTAAGGAAAGAAGAAGGTGTGCCCCAGCGCAGGAGGGACAGGCGCGGCTTGGGCTGGGTCACCTGGACCGCGTGCTCTTCCGCGACGAGTGCGTGCCCTTCGGGCTTCCCATCACCAAGGACTTGACCAAGCTCCGGCGAGCGCCCCAGCCTCGGCACCAGGCTCCCGTCGTGAAAGATATCAGTCTGGGAGGGTTGTTTGTCCCCGTTTCCGGGCTTTCTGGGGTCCTTTTTCTTTTCCTCCCCACCCGCACGAGCGTTCCGTAGTTCGGCAATGACCCGCAGCGGCGTTCTCAGAGCTTGTCCATGGAGGCCTTGAGGTCTTGACTCCTCCTCCTCCTCCTCCTCCTCCTCCTCCTCCTTCTCCTCCTCATCCTCCTCCTCTTCCTCCTCCTCCTCCTCCTCCCTCGTCTCCTCCTCCTCCTCCTCCTCCTCCTCCTTCTCCTCCTCCTCCTCCTCCTCTCCTCCTCCTCCTCCTCCTCCTCTCCTCCCTCCTCCCCTCCTTCCTCCTCCTCTCCTCCTCCTCCTCCGCCTCCTCCCTCTTCCTTCCTCTTCCTCCTCCTCCTCCTCCTCCTCCTCCTCCTCCTCCTCCGCCTCCTCCTCCTCCTCCCTCCTCCTCCTCCTCCTCCTCCTCCTCCTCCTCCTCCTCCTCCTCCTCCTCCTCCTCCTCCTCCTCCTCTCCTCCTCCTCATCTCATCATCATCATCATCAGCATCATCATCATCATCATCATCATTCTCCTCCTGGCCGTCTCCTTGATGAGGCGTCAGGAAGCGGCTCTGGATGGGAAAAGTCCAGAGGCGGCCTCAGAGCGGCTCCTGATCCGCAGCGGCGTTCCCAGAGCTCTTCCATGGAGGCCTTGAGGTCTTGACTCTTCCTCCTCCTCCTCCTCCTTCTCCTCCTCCTCCTCCTCCTGCTCCTCCTCCTCTTCCTCCTCCTCCTCCTTTTCCTCCTTCTCCTCCTCCTCCTCTTACTCCTCCTCCTTTTCTCCTCCTCCTCCTCCTTCCTTTTCCTCCTCCTTCTCCTCCTCTTCCTCCTCCTCCTCCTCCTCCTCCCTCCTCTCCTCCTCCTCTCCCTTCCTCCTCCTCCTCCTCCTCCTCCTCCTCCTCCTATCCTCCTCCTCTACCTCCTCCTCCCTCTTCTCCCCTCCTCCTCCTCCGCCTCCTCCTCCTCCTCCTCCTCCGCCTCTCCTCCTCCTCCTCCTCCTCCCTCCTCCTCCTCCTCCTCCTCCTCCCTCCTCCTCCTTCCTCCTCCCTCCTCCTTTTCCTCCTCCTTTCCCCTCCTCCTCCTCCTCCCTCTCCTCCTCCTCCTCTTCCTCCTCCTCCTCTCCTCCTCCTCCTCCTCCTCCTCCTCCTCCTCCTCCTCCTCCTCCTCCTCCTCCTCCTCCTCCTCCTCCTCCTCCCCTCTTTCCTCCCTCCTCCCTCCTCCCTCTTCCTCCCCCTCCTCCTCCTCCCCCTCCTGCCTCCTCCTCTCGCTCCTCCTCCTCCTCCTCCTCCTCCTCCTCCTCCCCTCCTCCTCCTCCTTCCTCCTCTCCTCCTCCTCCTCCTCCTCCCTCTTCCTCCTCCTCCTCCTCTCCTCCCTCCGTCATCCTCATCCTCATCCTCATCATCATCATCATCATCATCATCATCTCCATCATCATCATCAGCACATCATCATCATCATCATCATCATCATCATCATCATCATCATCATCATCATCCTCATCCTCATCCTCATCCTCATCCTCCATCCTCATCCTCTCCTCACCTCCTCCTCCTCCTCCTCCTCCTCCTCCTCCTCCTCCTCCTCCTCCTCCTCCTCCTCCTCCTCCTCATGGCCGTCTCCCTGATGAGGCGTTAAAGAGCGGCTCTGGATGGGAAGAGGCGGCCCAGGGCCCGCGCCACCCAGGCCACCCCCCCTCGGCACCCAGTGGCCTCGCGCCTCGGACGGCGAGCGCCCGAAGCACGGGCATTACGTGCGCGGCGCGAGCGGCGGCGGAGCGGCCCCAGGGACGTTCCCCGGCCCCACGCGTCGCACGGCGAGCGCTCGAGGTACGGGCGTGCGCGGTGCGCCGAGCGGCGGGCGGTGCGCGGCGCGCGGCGGGCGCGCCCCGGGGCGGGCGAGGTGCGGCCGTGCCCCTCGGGCGCGCTGGCGGGCGGCGGGCGCGGCGTCGCGGGCAAGAAGCACATCCTCATCCGCGGCCTCGCGCGGGCCCAGGCCCCTGGGCCGCGATCCAGCGGATACGGGGCGCACCGCGTGGAACGTACCCGGGCGACCGCGCATCCATGCGATCTTGGCGACTCGATTCCCAACCATCCCGTGGTGTTGGGCCCTCGTTTTGAAGAGACATCGCCCCGCGTCCCACCTCCCCTCCTCTCCTCCTCCTCCTCCTCCTCCTCCTCCTCCTCCTCCTCTCCTCCTCCTCCCTCCTCCTCCTCCTCCTCCTCCCTCCTCCTCCCTCCTCCTCCGCCTCCGCCTCCTCCTCCTCCTCCTCCTCCTCCTCCTCCTCCTCCTCCTCCTTCTCCCTCCTCCCCCTCCTCATCCTCCTCCTCCTCCTGCTCCCTCCTTCCATCCCTTGCCTCGGCCCTCCGCATATCCTCGTCGTCGTCAAATGAGTGCATGCAGTTCCACCTACATGTCGGCGCACCCCTCACACCTTTCGCGGCCCAATAGGGTGCTCCACCGAAGGCCCGAGTGGCAGGGACCGCATGCAATTCCACTCCCATTTCACCGCACCCCTCACACGTTTCGTGGCCCTCCAGAGTGCTCCACCGAAGGCCCCAGTGGCAGGGTCCACATGCAGTTCCACTCCCATGTCGGCGCACCCCTCACACCTTTCGCGGCCCAACAGGGTGCTCCACCGAAGGCCCCAGTGGCAGGGTCCGCATGCAGTTCCACCTACATTTCGGCGCACCCCTCACACGCTTCGTGGCCCCATCGGGTGCTCCACCAAAGGCCCCAGTGGCAGGGTCCACATGCAGTTCCACGTACATGTCGGCGCACCCCTCACACATTTTGTGGCCTCATAGGGGTGCTCCACCGAAGCCCCCAGAAGCAGGGACCGCATGCAGTTCCACTTCCATGTCGGCATACCCCATCACACGCTTCGCGGCCCCATAGGGTGCTCCACCGAAGGCCTCAGTGGCAGGGTCCGCAGGCAATTCCACCTCCAATTCTGCGCACACCTCACACGTTTCGTGGCACCATGGGGTGCTCCGCCGAAGGTCGCAGTGGCACTGATCGCACGCGTCACCGCCACCCATTTCGGCGCACCCCTCACACGTTCCGTGGCCCCACAGGGAGCTCCACCGAAGGCCGCAGTGGCAGGGCTCGCACGGCGCCACCGCACCCATTTCGGCACACCCATTACACGCTTCGTGGCCCCACAGGGAGCTCCTCCGAAGGCCCCACTGGCAGGGTTCGCATGGCGCCACCGCACCCATTTCGGCACAACTCTCATGCGCTTCGTGGCCACACGGGGATCTCTACAGAAGGCGGGGCTCACAACTGCGATACTCACAATTTCATATGGTTGGGTCCTTCGCCAGGATAAGTATTACGACGACCACTACCACTACCACTACCACTACTACTACTACTACTACTACTACTACTACTACTACTACTACTACTACTACTACTACTACTACTACTACTACTACTACTACTACTACTACTACTACTACTACTACTACTACTACTACTACTACTACTACTACTACTACTACTACTACTACTACTACTACTACTACTACTACTACTACTACTACTACTACTACTACTACTACTACTACTACTACTACTACTACTACTACTACTACTACTACTACTACTACTACTACTACTACGACTACGTACGACTACCTACTACTACTACTACGACCACTACTACTACTACTACTACTACTACTACTACTACTACTACTACTACTACGACGACTACTACTACTACTATTACTACTACTGCTTCGGCTACTACCACTACCACTTCTACAACTACTACGACAGCTACTACTACTACTACTACTACTACTACTGCTACTACTACTACTAATAATAATAATAATACTACGATTGCTACTACTACGGCTACTACTATTACTGCTGCTGCTACTACTACTACTACTACTACGACCACTACTACTACTACTACTGTTACTACTACTACTACTACTACTACTTCGATGACGACTACTACTAGGACTACGAGTACTATCACTACTACTACTACTACTACTACTACTACTACTACAACGACTACTAACTACTACTACTAATACTACTGCTACTACTACTATTACTACTAAAAATAAAACTACCACTACTTCTAACAACTACTACTACTAAACTACTACTACACTACTACTACTACTCCACTTCGATACTAACTACTAACTACTGACTAGTACTGCTAGTAACTACACTACTACTACTAACTACCTACTCACTACTACTACGCCTACTACGACACTAAGGACTACTACTAACGAACTACTACTACTATTACTACTACTACTACTAACTACTACTAACTACTACACTTCTACTAACTACTACGACTACTACTACTACTACTACTACTACTACTACGACTACGACTACGACTATTACTACTACTACTACAACTACTACTACTACTACGACCACCACTACTACTACCACTACTACTACTACTACTACTACTACTACTGCTAATACTAGTACTTCAACTACTACGACTACGACTACCACTACGACTACCACTACTACGAGTGCTACTTGTATTACGACTACTGCTACCTCGACGACGACGACTACTACGACTACGCTTACTATTATTTCTACTACTTCTGTTATTACTACTACTGCTACTACTACTACTATTACCTACTATTACTACTACTACTACTTTTACAAATACGACTACGACCATTATTATTATTACTACTACGACTATGGCTATTACTCTTGCTAATACTATCCTTACCACTCTTACAATCACGACTACAACTAATGCGGTTATTACTATTATTTTCTAGTGTTACTACTACTACTACTACTACTACTACTACTACTACTACTACTACTACTACTACTACTACTACTGCTACTACTGCTACTGCTACTACTACTACTACTACTACTACTACTTCTACTACTACTACTATTACTACTGCTGCTACTACTCCTATTAAGCCTCCTACTACTGTTACTACGATTACTACTCCTACTACTGCCACCACTACTAGTACCACCGCTACTACGACTACTATTACTAAGCATGATACGGCTACTCGCATTACGACTCCTACCACTACGACTACCATTGCAACTACTATTGCGACTACTATTACCACTACTACTACGATTACGTCTACTCCTACTAAATACAACTACTACTACTACTACTACTACTACTACTAGTACTACTACTACAACGACTACTACTACTACTATTATTACTACTACTATTACGACTACTACTACTACTACGACTACGTCTACTCCTACGAATGAGATTATGATTACTACTACTACGACTATTACTAGTACTACAAATTCTACCACTACTAATGCTACTACTACGATTATTTTCATACTGTCAGTACTACTACGACCATTACTATTATTTCTACTGCTTCTAGTACTACTACTACTACTACTACTACTACTACTACTACTACTGCTGCTACAACTATTACTAATACTATTAGTACCACCACTGTTGCCACCATGCCATTCGCATGCTGAAAGACCCAACGATATTACATGCAGTTGTGAGCAACGCAGTTGCCAGTCTCCTCTACCACTACCACTGCTAGTACTACGACTACCACTATTACTATTGTGGCTATTACGAATAGCAATATTAGTTCCATCACTACAGTTACAACTAATGTTACGTTTCTGACAGCTACGACTATGATATATATTACTAACTCTACGACTCCTACGATTTCTCTTCTTACTATCAACACTACTGCGACTACTACTTCTTCTACTACTACGACTACTACTACTACTACTACTACTACTACTGTTGCTGCTGCCTACTACTACTACTACTACTACTACTACTACGACTACTACTACTAGCATTGCAACTACGACTACTACTACTAATACGTTTGCTATTATTACTACTACTACTACTACTACTACTACGACTACTACTGCTGCTGCTACTACTACTACTATTACTACTGCTATTGTTGCTACTACTACTACTACTACTACTACTACTACTACTACGACTACTACTTCTACTACTACTACTACTACTACTACTACTGATACTACTGATACTACTACTACTACTACTACTACCACTACTACTACTACTACTACTACTACTACTACTACTACTGATACTACTACTACTACTACTACTACTACTATAACTACTACTACTACTACTACTGATACTGCTTCTACTATTACTACTACTACTACTACTACTACCACTACTACTACTACTGATACTACTCCTACCACTACTACTACCACCTCTACTACGACTGCTACCACGATTAGCCAAACATCGTATAAGTACTACCACTACGCCTGTCACCAATATTATTTGTATGGACACACTTACTACTGCTATAATTTTTGCGGCTGCGATTAGTTATATAACTAGCATTACTACTTCCACGACCACAACTACTATGATCACAACAACTTGTGGGATTAATTTTGCTACTACGAGTACGATTACTACTAGTATGCATTCTACGGCTATTACTACTACTGATACTACTACTACTACTACTACTACTACTACTACTACTACTACTACTACTACTACTACTACTACTACTACGACTACTACTGCTACTATCACTATTTCTACTACTACTACGACTACGACTACTAATGCTACTATTGTTTCCACGACTACTACTACGACGACTACAACTACGCCTACGGCGACGACTACGATCACCAATAAAGCCATGACTGGTGTTTTTTTTGGGGACGACGTGTACGACTCTGTCTACGGTTGCTACTGCTGCTACTGCTACTTCTTTCACGATTACGACTCGGACTACTACGGCTACTAGTTGTTTACTATTACGACTAGTACTACTACTACTACTACGACTACTACTACTTTTACTAATACTACTACTACTACTACTACTACTACTACGATTACTATTACTATGACTGCTACTACAACGAACACGATTACTGCTACTACTACGACTTACTATTAGCACAACGACTACTACTAGCACTACTACTTCCACGATTACTGCGACTACGACTGCTACTATTTCGACTGCGACTACAACGATTAATTAAACTACTACTATTACAATTACTACTTTTACTACTACTACGACTACGACTACGACTACTGCCACTACTAGTACTACAGCGATTATTATCACTACTAGTACTACCACTGCTACTACTACTTCTACTACTACGACTGATACTACGACCACTACTACTACTACGACTACTACTACTACTACTACTACTACTACGACTACTACTACCACTACTACTACTACTACTACTACTACGACTACTACTACTACTACGACGACGACTACGGCGACGACTACGATCATCAATAAAGCCATGACTGGTGTTTTTTTGGGGGGACGACGTCTACGACTCTGTCTACGGTTGCTACTGCTGCTACTGCTACTTCTTTCACGATTACGACTCGGACTACTACGGCTACTAGTTGTTTACTAGTACGACTAGTACTACTACTACGACTACTACTACTACTATTACTACTACTACTACTACTACTACTACTACTACTACTACTACTACGATTACTATTACTATGACTGCTACTACAACGAACACGATTACTGCTACTACTACGACTTACTATTAGCACAACGACTACTACTAGCATTACTACTTCCACGATCACTGCGACTACGACTGCTACTATTTCGACTGCGACTACAACGATTAATACAACTACTACTATTACAATTACTACTTTTACTACTACTACTACGACTACGACTACGACTACTGCCACTACTAGTACTACAGCGATTATTATCACTACTAGTACTACCACTGCTACTACTACTTCTACTACTACGACTGATACTACGACCACTACTACTACTACGACTACCACTACTACTACTACTACTACTACTACTACTACTACTACTACTACTACTACTACTACTACTACTATTACTACTACTACTACTACTACTACTACTACTACTACGACTACGACTACTACTACGACTTTTACTACTACTACGACTACGACTATTACTGCGATTATCATTACTATCATTACTACTACCACTACTCTACTACTACTACTACTACTACTACTACTACTACTACTACTACTACTACTACTACTACTACTACTAGTACTACTACTACTACTACTACTACTACTACTACTACTACTACTACTACTACTTTTACTACTACTACTACTACTACTACTACTACTACTACTACTACTACTACGACTACGACTACTACTACTACTACTACTACTACGACGACGACGACGACGACTACTACTACTACTACTACTAATATTACGACGACTGCTACTTTGACTACCACTACTACTATGACTGCTACTAGTACTACCACTACAACTACCACTAAACTTATACGTGTACTACCACTACAACTATATTTACGACTACTACGACTTACTACAACGACGACGACTACTACCACCTACTACTACGACTTTTACGATTACGACTGTTACGACCACGCGTATTACAAGTAATATTGATCTGGCAGCTAACAGTATAACAAATAGTTATCTTCACGATAAACGAAGAATCACTCACATGAGCCGCCGGAAGCTCGTGCGGATTAGTGGGTCGGCGAGGGATCCCCCGGCGGCCTCTCCAGCGCCACCCCTCGAAATCCGCTCGGGCGGACCCCCGTAAGTTTTCGCTTATAGCGTTGTTTTTTTATTGTGTCGTCATAAAAACTCGGAGGTCCGCGCGGATTTCTCGGATCGGCGCTGGGCCCCCCAGCGGCGCTTCCGGCGCCGCCCCTGCCGCGCTCTGCGCAGACCTCCGAGTTTTTCATGTTTATGTCATGTTTTGTTCCCCTATTCACGGCAACAACAAATCGGCCCCAGACCCATCCTGGAGCTTGTTCTGACCAGGATCTCGGAGCGGATCCAGCCGTGTGGCGGCGAGGAGGCCCCCCGAAGGTCCAGAAAGGCGATCTGGGGAAACGCCGACGACGATGGCGGCGACGACGGCGGCCCCTGGACCCCTCGACCCCTCGTAGCGGACAGGTATTACGGGTCGATGTTGAGTTATCTTGGGGCACGATATGGGCCTCCAGAGGTCCAAGTTGACCAGAAATTGGCCGCCACGATCTCTTCCCGACGCTTGGAGGTCCGCCTTTGACGACGACGACGACGACGACGACGACGACAATGACGACGACGACGACGACGACGAGAGCCCGAGGCGCGACCTCTCTCGGGTCGTCCTCGTGGACAACGACGCGCGGAGCTTCTGGCGATGACGACGACGCCGACGACGACGACGACGACGAGAGCCCGAGGCGCGACCTCTCTCGGGTCGTCGTCGTGGACAACGACGCGCGGAATTTCTGGCGATGACGACGACGACGACGACAATGACGACGACGACGACGACGACGACGAGAGCCCGAGGTGCGACCTCTCTCGGGTCGTCCTCGTGGACAACGACGCGCGAAACTTTTGGCTGCAGGCGTCGAGGGGTGCGGGCGTCGAGTCTCCAGACTCGGCGGCGAGCGAGGGGGGGAAGTGAGAAGGAGAAGGCCTTCTCAGAAGGCGGCGAGACTTCTCAGCTCACTTCCCTCCTGGGCTCGCCGCGGACAGACGGCCAACTGTTCGGAAGGAGGGGGGGACGAGGAGGGAGAGGAAAACCTTGGAACGCGCTCGGAGGTTATCGGATTTGCGCGGGGGGGCCTCACGAGGGTTTGCACAGTCCTGGGGGCTAGGAGTGACAAGGGGAAGGTTTCAGAATACGTTCGGAGGTGTTCGGAAGTTTGCTTGGTTTTACACGGTTATGCGAGCAAGGGGTGAAGAGGAGGACAACGACGACGAGAACAAGGAGGAGGAGTGGCGAAGGGGGAGGAAGAGGAGGAGAGGACCAGAGCGAGACAGCACACCTCAGTGTTGCCGCAAAAGACCCCCCGTCCCAGGTGTAAGAAGAGGATGGCACGGAGTCGTCTCCTCTCATCCGTCTCTCTCTCTCTCTCTCTCTCTCTCTCTCGTTCACTATCCATCTCTAACGGTCTCTCCCTCTCTCTCTCTATCCCTCTCTCCCTATCTCCCTCTCTCTGTGCTGTTCCCCCTCAATCTCTCTCTCTCTCTCTCTCCCTCTATATATATATATATATATATATATATATCCATAGACTCCTCTCTCGTTGCCAACGCAGCCTTGAGTTATCACACAAAAAAACGCTCACACGCTACCAATAGATTGCTCAAACAAGCCAGCTGGCTTGGATGGAAGGCGGGTTGCTTTGAATACATCGGTTTCGCTGGAATTCGCATCACAATCGATGAACGTCAGCATATAGCAAAAAACAGGTGCACGAATGGAGGGCGGTCCTTTCGCAAAAGCGGCTAATCGCTTGGGGCTTCTTTGCGTTTGATCAAACTACATGTCGACAGCTTCAGTTGAGTGGGTAGCGGGTTATGACTTTGCAAAGCCGCGCTCTCGCCAGACATTTTCTTCACGCATTGATGCGACATGGACCCCATCTCTCAACAGCTACACTGCTGAATGGTGGAGCAGCTCCAAAGTCGCACTCTCGCTGGTCTCCAAAGTCATACCTCCGAGCATGCAAGTCCCCATCAGCCACAGGTGCGGTTGACTACTGAATGGTGGTACAGGGTGTTCGCTATGTATACATCTAGACACGCCAGCCAGCGTCCCGATGCGCCTACGAGTCACCCACGGGCGGTACCCGGCCGACACCCCAGCAGCGCCAGTGGGCGCACGAGACGCCCAAGAGGCGCCCACGGGTGGCAATCAGCCGAACACTTGGGCGGCGCCAACCAGTCGAAGCCGGAGCAAGAATTCATACAGGCCTTCGGGCGAGGAAAAGTTGCGCAAGAGCGTCCCAGGACGCTTTTGGGCAGCGCTCTGGAACGGCCGCGGCGCCCCATAGATCTTCCAGATCCGCCAGCTCTCAGAGATTCCCGATTTATCCTCATTCGAATTTGTCCTCGTTCTGTTTTCGTCTCACTTCGTGCAAGCATTGTATGATATGACGAAAACGAGTCGTGCTGGGCGCATCACACGGTCGAGCATTCTGATGATTATTGATTCTAAGGGTCACAAGCTTCAGATTCTAAGCGTTCCAGTCTTCTGGATGCATCTTGCCGCAGGGCCACCTCGGCTCTTACCCTTCCGTCCTTCCTGGGCCCCGGTCCTGAGGCAGGGCCATACAGTCACAGTAGTGTCCGCGCAGTGTCGACGCGACGGCAGCATTGGGCGCGGGAGTTCAAGGTTGCACACCGCCAGGGGGTCAGAATCGGACGAGGAGATTTGGGACGGGAGGCTGTGCCGTATCATCATCGATGCGCGTTAGGTTTAGTGTGGTCCTTCACCACCGGTTGAGTTTGCTCCAGTTTGATCCGGCTTGTCGTTCTCGAATCCCGTTTGCAGTGGTCAATGTTTGGGTGGGCACACAAAGGTTAAGAACACCCCTAGCTTCGGAGGAGCACCCTCCTGTTCTTCGTGTGCGGGATTTCCACCTTGAGGCAGTTTTTCGTTTGGGACATATTTTCAGGGTGCCGTGGCGAAGGGGCTCACGTTCTTGACCCACGTTCGTGTGGCCATGTTTCGCCTGTATTCACAAGGCCGCTGACGCTAAAAGTGGCTTGGCATCGCTCAGACGTGTGCGTTTGTTTTTGGCGAGGATCATCGAGGAGCATCCTGCATCATTAACCAAAAAAATCATGAAATCGAAAATGCATTGGGAATGGACGTCCGAGCGATGCGAGCATGTCGCCTGTACTCACCAGGCCACTGACGCGAAAAGTGTGGTCCTCCTCGCTGTCCTTCCCTCCCGCCTGACCCAGGTCCTCGAGTGAGGCTTCGACTACAGAATTGATTTACCCCACACTTGATTTGCTCGTCGAGTCCATGACAAATGCGTCGAAGGATCGTAGATCTACGAACATTCTGTACAGTGGGGGCGTTGGTGAAGGAATGTGCCAGAGAGGCGCCAGACCCTCGAGGCTTCCTTATCCAACGAAGTCTGCGGTGATATCCGTGGCCAAAACCACGATCGCAGTTCCACTGGCTTCGAGACCCTGGATTCCTTATCCGTTGGTTCCTTGTCCAGTGCCCTCACCGCCCATGACTGGACGAGAAACCAATTCTGGGGCAGATCAACTCTGCAGTCGACCCCCTGCTCGAAGTCCGCTCGACCCGCCCAGCCCCTCCGCAGGCGGACAACGGCCTCCTGGTGTCCGACTGGGTGGGCCGCGACCCCTCCGATCGGAGGGGCGGGGGCGGGCCAGAGCAGCGCAGGCAACGCTCCGGGCGTGCCTCCCAACTCGGGCATCGCTCGGACGCGTGCTGCCGGGCTGCCTTCGGCGATGCCCGATCCCAGCTGGCACTTCCACCTGCTGCCCGCGCCCGAGGACCCTCTGCGCCGCTGCCTGCAAGAGCGCTGCCGGGTCACATGGGTGCTCGGTCGGAGCAGAAAGGGATGCACGCACAGCGCTTCAATGTCACCGGCATTGGCATCGCTACCTCTGCTTCGGGCTCTGTCTGCACTTGGCTCGTGATGCGAACGGCACGCGCACGAGCTACAGGGCTAGCACCGAGTCATGTGTATGTTTGCGAGGAAAAGCTTCCGGCAAGGACCATCGTCGAGCCTTCTGGGCCATTGCGGGAAATACACGCACGAAACCGAAAAATGCACGGGGAATGGACGTCCGAGCGATGGCGAGCCAGCGGCGCTCACATTGTTCGACCCTCCAGGCAGGGAAACGGCTTTCGGAAACTGACAATCCATGTCCGAGTGTCCCTTCAAGACTACCGCGGGCGTACGGCCACCCCTCTCGGGGGAAGAGAACTATGCACATGCACCGATCCTGACAACGCCCATCCTTGACCCAGGATCGGTGCATGTACCTCCCTGGCCAAGGTAAGAGGGCGTGTGCACCGATCATGGGCTCAGGATGGGCCTGGCCAGAATCGGTGTATGTGAATAGTTCTCTTTCCTCTACCTTCATGCGATAAGGAGGTTGTTGGGGGGAACATGTGATGACAGCCGTGATGGGACACCATCGGGACACCTTGCGTACACATGAATGCCACCATCGGGGCACAATCGGAACACCATCGGGACACAATCGGAACACCATGGTGTAACGGTCCATTAGTTGTCCATCGATCTCACTCTCGGCCTCACTCTTGATCTCGCTATCGATGATACTTTCGATACCACTGTCGATCTCACTATCGATCTCACTATCGGTGTAACTATCGATCTCATTGTCGGTTCCGCTATCGATATCATTACTGATGTCATTATCGATATAAGTATATGTTTTTCGATCTCACTATCGATCTCACTTTTGATCTATCGGTCAGCGATCGGCCGCACTATCTCACGATCGGTCTCAGTGTACGTTTATCGATCCCATTATTGCTCTCACCATCGGTCACTCGATCAATGTATGAGTTTGGCTATCAGTCGGTCTCGCTTTCTCCATCTCACAATCGATCCGATTTTTGATCTATCGATATCACTATATGTCGGTATCACTGTCCATCGATATCGCGCTCTGTATATATACATTCATATATACGCGCCGAATATGTACATATATACATACATATATATATATAAAAATGTAAGTGTGCATGTGCATATGTATATATAGTGGCGCTTCTATATATCAATGTATATATATATATGTGTATATATACATACATATTGATATCACGGGGCAACCACGGGGACAATCATCGGGACACCATCGGGACACCATCGGAACACCATCGGAACGCCATCGAGACACCATGTGGCCACCATGTGGATACCGTCGAGACACCATCGGCACACCATCGAATCACTGTCGGGACACCATCGGGATACCAACGGAACACCATCGTGGACAACGTCGAGACACCATCGGGACACCGTCGGAACCGTCGGGACACCATCGGAACACCCCCAAGCCACCGCCAGCCAACCAGCGGGACACCCCCGGGCCACCGCTGGCCAGCTGGGGGGAGCAGCATCATTTGGCCCGGTTTCGCCCTGGCAACGGCGAGTTCATTCCGATCGCCCGCCCACGCAGCTTCGCCTCGCCCGCACGCACGCACGTCACGAAACCGAAACCCATTTCCTGGTGGGGGGTCTCCGTTTCACTTTGATCTCACCCCCCAATTTCGATCTTCTCCTGCTTAAGCGCCATATTGAACTACGCAGCAAGCTGTCCAATCCTGGCTCCGACGGCGGACTTGACGTTACGTTTCCTCTTCCATCGCTGTAGGTTTGCCTCCCATCCTTCCCCGCAATATTGCAAAGTCTCCGAAATCCATGTTTGGTTTTCTGGTCCTGTCGGGCCTCAGTGAAGGCAGCATCGAATATTTCCCAGATAGGAAAGCCACGAGCACCCACCATTTTTTATCTCCCTTCCGATCCGACCCCTCAGCCATCCCCTCCGGTTCAGGATCGATTCAGTGGGATGTATGCCCCATTTATTTTTCTTTCGGCCACTGACGTGTCCCCATTTACTTGGATCCGTCCCACCCTTGACCTTGAGCGCCCGCCGAGTCTCTTACCCTTTTACTTTTAACGCAGAGGCGTTGCGATCAACGCTCGGCGGCGTCGCAACCCCCAGGGAGAAGTGGCCCCCGCGGTACCTATTCCTCTCCGTCCTTCCTTCCGTCCTCCTCCCCCTCTTCCCTCCACCCCCTCTTCCTCCTCATCCTTCCTCTCGCTCAAAAAAAGGATCGATCGTATCAGATCGCCCCGTGGTCATATTTAGAGATGCGTGATGGCGACGACGACGACGACGATGACGACCACCCACGACGACGATATCGCGATGATGATGAAGACGATAATGATCAGGAAGAGAAGGAGGAGGAGGAGGAGTATCAGGATGAGGATGAGGATGAGGATGATTGTGATGCTGATGGTAGTGGTGATGATCCTGATGGTGATGATGATGGTCCATGATGGTGATGGTTATGATGATGATGATGATGATGATGATGATGATGATGATGATGATGATGATGATGATGATGATGATGATGATGATGATGATGATGATGATGATGATGATGATGATGATGATGATGATGATGATGATGATGTGTGTGGTGGTGGTGGTGGTGGTGGTGGTGGTGTGATGATGATGATGATGATGATGATGACGACGACGACGACGACGATGATGACGATGATGATGATGATGAAGATGATGATGATGATGGTGGTGGTGGTGGTGATGATGATGATGATGATGATGATGATGATGATGACGACGACGACGACGACGACGACGACTGCCACCTCCTCCCCACCGCCTGCTCCTCCTCCTCCTCCTCGTCCTCCTCCCGGTGCAGTGCTTGCTCCGTGGCGGGTGCACTGGGCGGGCTCCTCCCTGCATCGGCCATGCGCCGCTCAGGCGTCGGCTCCACCACTGATTGCCGATGTGGCCATCTCGCGCACGCTCCTGGATGCACAAAGCGATGCCAGGACCGATTGCACAGTGTCGTCGTGATGTCGTCGGCGTCGGCGTCTTCGTCGGCGTCGGCGTCGGCTCACGCGCACGCTCTGGAGGCACAAAGCGATGCCAGGATCCGTTGCGCAGTGTCGTGTGGCAGCGGCGGAGCTGTCGCCTCTTCAATGGCGACATGCGTTTCCCGCACACCTCTTCCTATTCGCCTCAAACTCGTGCTCATCATCTTCATCATCAGCATCATCGTCATCCCCCTCCGTCCTCATACTCTTGCTTGTTGCTCTCCCTTCCCTTCCGCCTCGTCCTCCTCATCCTCCACGCTCAGCGTACGGTATTCCTGCTCCTCGTCGTCATCCTCCCAGTCCTCTTCTTGCTCCTCATCCCCCCTGCTCCGTAGCTGGTTTGGCTAGAGCCTTGTCGGGCCGGGTCTCGCCAGAGTTGGCAGCAGCAGAAATACCCACACGGTTTGCATCGCTGGCTTTCGCGCCGTCGTCCTTCGCATGGGTTGCCAAGCAATAGTCATTGCTCGTCACAGATGATGCCCGTCAGCTACATGCATGTCGAAGCGATGCATGTTGCTTTCTTGGTCTCCATGGAGGTCCTGACGCGTCTGCACACAACGGTTGCCCTGCCTCGGCACCCCGAGCATGAGAATCCTGCTCCCGCGCAGTGGACCTCCAGTGACGCCTGGCACAGCCGCGGCGCTGCCTCTGTGGAAGGCCGCTCCGCGGGGCTCCACCACGTTCCCATCGTCTACACTTACACAGAGGAGAGCTCGGCCAAAGGGAAGCTGATGCTGCAGGCCTCGGTACTCTCAGCACTGCGCCACATGAGCGACGCAGAAAAATTGGGGCCGTCTGCGCCGACATTCGCGCGCATGAGTTGCCCGCGCAGGCTCGCGCGTGCGCGCCCTCGCTTCCAGTGTGGCGTGCCGCGCTGGCGGCCCCCGTAAGCCACCGCGTGAGGTCGCTACGCGATTGCGCGTAAGACCACGTTCCTTCAAGTCGCTCGGACTTGCCCTTTTGATTTCGGAAAGGAAGATCGAGGAGCATGTTCGTTCATCCTGCGAAAAAATACGCGCGCGAAGCCAAAAAAATCACAGGGAGTGGACGTCCGAGCGATGGCGAGTTTCTTTTCGTCGCTCACATGCCAGAGTCGGCCTTGCACGTGCTGTACCACGGGGGCGCCGACGACGCCATCCGGGCCTGGCTGGTCAGGCACGGAGTCCGCGTGCACGACCACAGGCCAGAGTGGCGCGGAGAGGCCGAGCGCCTACGGGCCGAGGGCCTCCGGGGCACGTCGTTCGAGAGGCACCGCTTCTTGAACGCCGGGGACTACTTCGGCACTTGGCAGCGCATTCCGGCTGCGCGCGAGAGTGGCCTTTCGCCAGAGTGAGTTCTGCCAGGCACGAGCAGACAACGGTTTCCAGGAAGATATGGGAAATGGAGGGGAAGACGAAGATCCAGAAAATAACGAATGGCAGAAGTCTTGGAATTCTTTACGCTTCGCGTATCCCCACCAGCCATCTCACAACAGCAACTCTTGCGAAGCATGCCGACAGTCGTGTTTTTCAGGCGTGTGTCCGCTTGGCCCCGCATATCTCCCCTGTTACTCCTTCCTCCCGCCTCCTTGTACATCCTCCTTGTGGGGGGAGCGGGAGAAGGACGAGGCGGAGGAGGAGGGAGAGAAAGCGCTCCTCGTGGTTTGAGTCGTTTGGGGTTTCTCGTCCTGGTGTGAGTCGTTCGGGCCCTTCTTCCTGGTGTGAGTCGTTCGGGCTCTTCGTGGTGTGAGTCGTTCGGGCTCTTCGTCCTGGTGTGAGTCGTTCGGGCTTCTCGTGGTGTGAGTTGTTCGGGCCCCTCGTCCTGGTGTGAGTCGTTCGGGCCCCTCCTCCTGGTGTGACTCGTTCGGGCTCCTCGTGGTGTGAGTCGTTCGGGGCCCTCGTCGTGGTGTGAGTCGTTCGGGCTCCTCGTGGTGTGAGTCGTTCGGGCGCCTCGTCCTGGTGTGAGTCGTTCGGGCCCCTCCTTCTGGTGTGAGTCGTTCGGGCTCTTCGTGGTGTGAGTCGTTCGGGCCCCTCGTCCTGGTGTGAGTCGTTCGGGCTCCTCGTGGCGTGAGGCGTTCGGGCACCTCGTCCCCTTTTGGGGCGTCTTGGGGGCCTCTTGGCGGCCCCAGGGGCTTCGGGCCTCTTGGGGCCTCTTGGGGCCTCTTGGGGGCATCTTGGGGGCCTCTTGGAGGCCTCTTGGGGGCCTCCTGGGGGCCTCTTGGGGCCATCTTGGGGCCTCTTGGTGCCTCCTGGGCGCTTCTTGGGGCCATCTTGGAGGAGATCGATCAAAGAAGAGGGGAGCTTTAATGAGCGCTGCCCCCTCAGAAGGGCAAAATGAGGCCAAAACCTTCGTAAAATCAATGATTTTGCTTGGAAAGAAGAGGAGAGCTTTAATGAGCGCTGCCCCCTCAGAAGGCGAAAATGGGGCCAAAACCATAGTAAAATCAATGATTTTGGCTTCAAAGAAGAGGATAGGGTTTTTTCTGCCTCCCCCCGTCGGGGCCAGAATCCTCGTGAGGGGTGTCGTTTTTTAGCCCTCCCAGGAGTCGAAAATGACCCCCCCAACGACCCGCGAAAGGAGGGGGTAGGGGGAGGGGTAAACCCCTCCCCGAAGGGGAAGAAGGGGGTTGAGAACAGAGCGGGCTCTCTAAACCACTCACGCCCAAAGGGCTGGTGGGACTAGTGTCTACCTATTTGTATCTCCCTGGGCGCCTTTACTTTGGTGCGCGCCCACCGGTGCCCCCACGGCTCGGTTGGGTTTGGTCCTCACGGCCCCGTGAAGCCGCGCACCCAAAAGGTCACTCTTGCCTCGGGTGACTCTTGCGTGTAGCCGAGTATTGACGTGCCTTCGCTCGTGCCGGAGGACTATTGCTTGTTGCTGGATTCCGACACATTCTTCGTCAAGCCCGTGACGTTCCAGGACATCCGTGACCGCAAGACGGGCGTCGTGCCAAGATTGGCCGTCTCGACAGACTTGAAAGAGCACGATCGGAAGCCAAGCAATGTCGGTGTCACATTCATGTACATCCCCTTCATGCGAGAGACGCTCCCTGCTTTCCAGACTTTCATTTTCAACCGCACCAGCCCGGTTTTTTCAAAGGCGCTCGCCCATCACGGGGCCTACATCGATTTCTACGGTCCTGCTGTCAGTCTTCTTGCGGCGGGGATCGGCATCAAGCCGTACCAGCGGAGCAAAAAGAGTTGGCAAAACAAGCGCGTTGTCCATTTTAACGGGCTGAAGCCGCATGATTCGATTGGCTGTCGCAGAGTCTGCCGACCCCTTAACTGGGGGACCATTCGGGCATCCCGGGGCTTCCATGAAATGTTCTCCAGTGTTGCTCGGGGCCTCTCGTAGCGCCCTGTTTGGAGAGCCTAAAGACCCCAATGGATCGGCGGACTTGCTGCAGTACTGGCTTAATGGAACCTGCGACCCTGCCAAGTGCTACCTGATCTTCAGGTTCGACCACCACAGGTACTCGCACCAGTGCGCCTGCATCCAGCTCTGGGCCGAGCACGCTCGACTCGAGGGCTCCGACACGATCGAGAGATACTGCCAGGCAACCACCCCAGATGATCAGGAAGGGTGAAGGATGAGAGGGAGGATGAGGAGGGGAAGGAGGCCAAGGGGAAAAGGAGGGGGAGTAGGTGGAGGTAGGGGGGAGGAGGTGGGAGGGGTAAGGAGACCAGTGAGCGTCTTGATGTTTTCGCTTGTGCTGCCGTTGCACGGAACTAGGTACGCGCTCATATAGACGGCACCGCTTGCAAACGAGGAGGAGGAGAGAGGAGAAGAGGATGAGACGAGGCGGGCCGAGGAGGAGGACGAGGACGAGTTCGAGGACGAGGACAAGAAGGAGGCGGGACGAGAGGAGGTGAAAAGGCGAGAAGGGAGGAGGGACGAGGAGGACAAGGAGGGACGAGGAAGGAAGGAGGCCAGTCGGTCGGTCGATCGAGGACCTCGTGAGACTCTGAGCTCTGCCGGGAGGGTGCTGGCATCAAGGTTAGCCAGCAGTCCAAGGAGGAGGAGGATCAGGAGGGCGAGCCACGAGGACGAAGCGAAGGACGAGGAGCGAGGAGAGCCGCTGCAAGGCAGCCCTCCCCGATCACGGCCCGTCGTGCCTGACGTTCTTCGAGAGGCTTGCTGGGCTTGGACGAGAGGCGGCCGCATCGGATTGCGATATGGCGCAAGGGGTGAGGTAAAAAGAATTCAGAAGTGCTGTGATGTGATCATCCTCATCCGCATCCCAGGAGGAGGAGGAGGAGGAGGAGGAGGAGGAGGAGGAAGAGGGGGATCGGGATCGGGATCGGATCCGACGATAGGGGTAGGATCGCGAAAGTGGTAGTATTAAAGTTCTTCCTGACGCTCCCCTCGCTATATTTTCTTCCCCCGCCATTTCACTTCAACGAAGGGTTGGCTGGGCTTCCTGCGGAAAGAAAGATTTCCCGCTGCTGCTTGTGTTCAGAGGTGAAAGGACCGATCGCGCTCGCGCCGCGGGGAATGACCCAGGTGATAATCCCGACGTGTTGATCTCATCCGACGATGAGAGGTCGATGAAGTCGACGCAACGCCGACGCGTGGACCCGACTGGCGGCGCTGGTCCAGGTGACCCCGAGGCATGTGGCCCCATGGATTCACTTATGTCGGTTCAGAAGCTGTCGCCGCTACCGGTGCCCATGGACGATGGGCACGTTCGCCGGCGGAGCGACTCATACGGTGAGACGCCGGATCCGCGGGCCCCTGCGGCTAAGCAGCCGAGGGAAACCTTCAGCCTATCGATGAGGTCCCCGCTCGTGAAACGGATTAGGACAGACGGCATCCACGAGGAGACCCATGGGCTCGATCCGGGGGGGTACCCCGGGAGCTGTGCCCCCGGGGTCTCTCCACTCCCCCGGCCAGCCCCTTGAGGACGGAGCGAATTGGGCGACTCGCAGCAGACGCCGTCCAGGCCCCAATTCCCCGCGCGCGCTCTCCGGGAGCGAGGGGCATCGGACCCGATGCCCGCCCGATAGGCGGCGGCAGCCGCGGGCCCCGTCCGGCGCCTCGGCCCGCACGGCGCGTTCCAACGCGTCAAGGAGTTGGAGGAGGAGGAGGAGGAGGAGGAGAAGGAGGAGAGGAAGGAAAAGGAGGAGAAGGGGAAGGAGGGGGGGCAGGAAGAGGAGGGCGAAGAGGAGGCGGGGGAATATGGGGGGGACGAGAAACGGGGGGAGGGGGGAGGGAGGTAGAAGGGATGAGGGGGGAAGGAAGGTCGCATGGAGACTGCTTCGGAGGAGAACGTGGCCACGTTGGAGCAGAGAGGAGGGAGAACCTCCCCCTCCACATCCTCGTCATCTCACCTGATCCCTATTCCCTTATTCCCCCTCGTCGTCCTTCTCCACCAGATCTCTCTTCTTCATCCTCATCGTCCTGCTCATCCCCCCCCGCCTCCTTCAATTGGATGTACAACACTGCCCCTCATATATCCTCGTCCCCCACCCCACCCCACCTTTTTTTCATCCCCCTCATCATTCGCAGCATCATCGTTATCATCCTCGTCAGCACCAGCAGCAACACCATCGCCATCATCACCAACAGCAACAAACACGACAGCAACAACTTCAACTTATCATCATCAACAATGTCGGCAACAGCGACATGACCATCACCATCATCACCATTTCTGCCATCACCATCATCACCATTACAGTCGGGGCCCTGAAGAAGGAACCCTTTTAGTTGGGGAGGGGCTCCGTGTTCCTGAAGTGTTTCACAGCTTGCCTCGGGTTTCCTTACGTTTTCGATGGGAAGTCGAAGTTTAACTTATGGGAAAAAAGGGGCCTCGTTCCTTATTTTGGGCTCCTTTGGTCAAGGCCCCGACTGTACTGCCTTCACCATCATCACCGTCGTCATCGTCGGGGGTTCTGCCACGCGTGCGGCTTCCACTCGGCGCCGTCACGGGCGATGAGCCTGGCCAAGAGTCGTGCCGCCCGCAGGGCCACGGCGCGGGGTCCGCCCGCCGCGCGCGGAGCAGAGCTCGGGGAGCAGCCGAGGTGCTGCGATTAGGCGCAGGTCAGGAGGGAAAGAAACACACAGACACAATGAATCGTCGATTCCCAGGAAAATATGGGAAAATATGGGAAGTGGGGGGGAAGACAGAAACCCAGAAAATATAGAGAAATATGGGGAATATTTTTATTTGTGTGTATTTATTTGTGTGTCCCAGGGCCCCTTCAGAAAGTCTGGCGCGGCTGCTCGCGCGAGCCTGGGTGGACCACGCGCGGTTGCTTTGCGGCGATGCCAGCGCCAGAAGATCTGGACCATCTACCACCGAGCGCGTTTCATGACTCGCAAGGTGCCTAGTCGCAAAAAGGTCCTAAAGAGCAAACGCAGGCATCGATTGCAGTGGGTCGCGAGTCGCCCTCGGCGGATACGGGCAATTTGCGAGCAGTTACTCTGCGAGCAGTGGAACGCGCTTGTCTAATCTAGGAGCACCTGGGAACATCCAGCCCCCCCCCCCAAAAAAAAACTGACGAAACCGGACACGGCACGCGGAATGGACGTCCGAGCGACGGCAGGGTGACGGCTGCTCCCGCCTGGGGCTCCCGCGCGGCGGCGCGGCGATGGGTCCGTCCCGTGCCGCTGCTCCGGGGGAGCGGCGGGAGGCGCTGTGCGAGCCTCTCTGCCCCGAGGGGGCGGCCGCCGCGGCGGGGCGCGGCCCGAAAGGCTGGGCGGCGTGCCCTGCCTGAGCCCTGGGAAGAGGGCAGGGAGGCACGGCCGCGCCGCGCGGGGCCGCTGGGAGGCCATCGCAAGCATGGCGATGGCGCGGGCCCCGCTTCCAAAGGGAAATCGCGGACCTCCGCCGCCGAGCGAGGCGGCACTGGCCGCAGATTGGGGAGGGCACTCCCCCCGATCCATGGATTTGGCGACCGCGCGCCAAATCCATGGATCGCTAATCCAAGTTTGCGCACCCCCGATGGGAGGCCTGGGGCCCGCGGCCCCCGTGCGTGCGCTGGGTGGGATCGTCGAGTCCCAGGGCGACCCCTCTGAGACCCCTGGCGGGGGCGCAGAATTGGAGGCTTCTCTGTTTGACACCTCCTCGCTCACCTCTGGCCGCACCCTGGAAGAGCACGGGCACACGCTCGCGGGGGCGGATGCGTCGGCGCAGGCGGAGCTGGCCTCTTTCGACTCCGATGGCGCGCTGTTCAGGCCACCTCCTGGCTCGGCAATGGGCGCGGGCAGGAGCAAGCAGCCCAGCGGCGAGGCCATGGGTCCGCCCAGCCAGAAGGGCGGCAGCTGTGCGACGCGCGCTGTCCGCAGGCATGGGAGCGTAATCATCGATGCACCCTCCTGTTCGGCTGTGCCTACTTACGCCGTCATCCTCTCCACACCCCTCATCATGCTCCATTTTCCTCTCATCCTCGTGCTCTTCATCCTCATCCTGTTCCTCCTCCACCTTCTGAGGCCAGGTTGCCTCGGCTAGGATGCTTGAGGCCTGGTCGCCCAGGCACGCAACGCCGTCGCGAGTCATTCGCCGAGTTGTGGTCGCGGGAAAAAACATGTTCCTCCTCTGTCCCCACAACTACTCGATATGAATATTGCTCTCCTCTCTCCACCGAAGATGGCCTGCGAGTGGCCCGCCCTCATCCGCGTGCTGATCGTTGTTCTACACAGTGGACCCTCACATTCGGCACTTTCCCTTAGCAGTGTTTGCACCTACGGATTCCTACGTCTCTTCGAAGAACATGGACCGTGCGTTCGGTATGGCGGCTATATTGCCGTCGTCGTCGCCGCCTCGTCGCCGCCCGTCGTCTGGGCCGTGTCTTCGGTCCGGCGGCTATGTTGTCGCCGTCGCCGCCTCGTCGCCGCCCGTCGTCTGGGCCTGACACGTACATTTGCACCACATAGATGAGTAGCGTCGCTCTTCCCATACAGTTTGCGCCGACTGGCATACATCACATATATTGCTCCACATATGTTGCATCACATAGTTTACACCAAAATAGGCATGCACCACATAGATTTTCTTGTTTGAACATGCAACATACCCTTTGCCCCCCCGCGGGACTATGCGCCCCCTTTTCGTATTACAATTTACATACAACCCTGCCCCATCGTCCATCCGAAATATGAATTTACACCATCCCAAGGGGACCGGTATCCCCCCGAAATCTTTTTGCAAAAGATAGTATGCGCGCACACTCGTTTATCAAAAGCCATCGGTTTTCATCGAATCCTTTAAAAATTGTGAGACGAAGTGCACACGCGCGCGTCGTCGCGCGCGCATGCCCAAATCCTTCAAAAACCTTCGGTTTCGTAAGTATTTCAGAATCAAGTATCAAAAAAACATGTTGAATTATTCCAACGGATGGACCCCACATGAAAACCTAATTTTGTGTGGAATATGTACACAGTCAGAATGATGCTGCTCCTGCTGACGCTGCTGCTGTTCCTCCTCCACCTGCTCCTCCTCCTCATCCTCCTCCTCCTCCTCCTCTTCCTCCGCCTTGAGCAGCGTCCATTTCAACCGCCTTTTCCTGACGGCACCGTGGTTGAAATCCCCGCCTCCTCCTCTTCTTTCTCCTCCTCCTCCTCCTCCTCCTCCTCCTCCTCCTCCTCCTCCTCCTTCTCCTAAACCTCCTCCTCTCCCCCTCTGCTACCCCCATGAGGCCCATTCGGCGCGTGCGGGCTCGTGCGGAATACCCCATCAAGGGCATTATCCTCGTCATCCTCCTGCTGCTCCTCCTCCTCCTCATCATCACCCTCACGTTTCCTCCTCCTCCTCCTCCTCATCCGCCTCCTCCTCCTCCTCCTCCTACTCTTCCTCCTCCTCCTCCTCCTCCTCCTCTTCCTCCTCTTCCTCCTCTTCCTCCTCCTCCTCCTCCTCCTTGAGCAGCGTCCATTTCAACCGCGTCCTCCTGACGACACCGTGGTTGAAATCCCCACTTCCTCCCATGTTTTCTCCTCCTCCTCCTTCTCCTCGTCCTCCTCCGCCTCCTCCTCCTCCTCGACCGGCTTTCATTTCAACCACCTCCTCCCGACGCCGCCGTGGTTGAAATCTTCCTCCCCTCTCGCTGCTCTTCCTCCTCCTCCTCCTCCTGCTCCTCCTCCTCCTCCTCCTCCTCCTCCTCCTCCTCCTCCTCCTCCTCGTCCACCTCCTCTTGGCCCCCCCCCCCTCCTCATCCTGCTCTTCCTCCTCCTCGTCCTCCTCCTCATCCTCGCGTGT